GGTTAGGACATAAAAGGACTAAGAAGGACATGAAAGGACTAGTTAGGACGGAAAAGGACTGGTTAGGACATAAAAGGACTAGTAAGGACGGGAAAGGACAAACACTGAAGGACATAAAAGGACTAGTAAGGACAGAAAAGGACTGGTTAGGACATAAAAGGACTAAGAAGGACATGAAAGGACTAATAATGACATAAAAGGACTAGTAAGGGCGGAAAAGGACTAGTAAGGACAGAAATGGACTAATAAGGATACTAAAGGACTAGTGGTGACATTAAAAGATAAGTAAGGACATAAAAGGACTAGTAAGGAGAGCAAAGGACTGGCTAGGACATAAAAGGACTAAGAAGGACATGAAAGCACTAGTTAGGACGGAAAAGGACTGGTTAGGACATAAAAGGACTAGTAAGGACGGGAAAGGACAAGCACTGAAGGACATAAAAGGACTAGTAAGGACAGAAAAGGACTGGTTAGGACATAAAAGGACTAAGAAGGACATGAAAGGACTAATAATGACATAAAAGGACTAGTAAGGGCGGAAAAGGACTAGTAAGGACAGAAATGGACTAGTAAGGATACTAAAGGACTAGTAAGGACAGAAAAGGACTAATAAGGACATAAAAGGACTAGGAAGGGCTGAAAAGGACTAGTAAGAATACTAAAGGACTAGTGAGTACAGAAAAGGACTAATAAGAACATTAATAAGGGACTACTAAGGACAGAAAAGGACTAGTAAGGACACAAAAGGACAAGTTAGGATGATACAGGACTAGTAAGGTCATTAAAGGACTGGTAAGTACGGAAAAGGACTGGTTAGGATAATAAAGGACTAATAAGTACAGAAACGAAATAGTTTTGAGAAGTGCGTATTACTTACAAAACGTTGTGCACAGTGTTCATTTAATTTATGTTGCACGACTATATGGTGTGCTAACATGTAGTTCATGCCCCTCGCCTTCTGGCCTTCTGTTGTCGACAGTTTCTATTGCTGATAGTTTGCTTAGCACTTCTGAGCTGTGGAGTGAGTCTCCCATTCGAGATATTGGTGGCGTAGATGGCGAGAGCAATAAATCAGCAATGTAAGTTGCATTTACGAATACGTGCATTGGTTACAATATAAATTATCGGTCAGTATAAAACATGGACTGCGGACTGCGGACCACGGACTGCGGACTGGGTATAAAGTACCGACTAGGAATAAAATGCAGACTCCGGACTGAATATAAAACACGGACTAGGTATAAAACGCGGACTACGGACTATGTATATAAAAACAGCTTTAGAAGGCAAAACTGAGAGAAATAGAAAGCGGACTAGCAAAAACAGTAGTCCCAGCTTTAACATTCCCTTGGCTGTTCACGTAGTATATTCTTCCCACGGAGAAGGAAGGTTATGCCGGTACTCAAGGCAACTGAAATTAAACTCTGAATTTTATAAAAAGAAGGAGTTTGAAGAGATTTCAATTTGCAGTTTTACATCAATAAGAGGCACCGAATTAAAAAAAATAGTAGTGGTGTTAGTCAGATCAGTAAAATTCTTATCAGATGCCACAATTCCGTTTCAAATAAAGCCTTGGAAATATGAGGACTGAATGAAGAACTCATAGTTCTCGTGTTTTCGCTTTCTCAATTCAGCGGACCCAACTATTTCAGAGCCTTGAACAGGTTAGGTCTAATTAGGCAGAAATTTTGTCATCATTACCAAGTTAGAGCGGAAACAAAAAAATTCTTCAAATGCATTTCGAATTCGCACATTTCTATTTCGTTCTTATTCATTTGGAATTGAAACGATAAATACGTCTATTCATGTACGCTCCCGTAGTTCCCTCGAAAACCATAACCGATTCCACACCAAAATGGGCAAAGTGTTTTCAGACCAAAAAGGCCCAAACCCCCTACCCTTCCATTATAGAAGGGGGTACCACCCCTGATCCTGACCCCTGTCATGATTGTTAGAGACCAAGACCTATGGCGCGTTATCGGTGTCAAAATTATGTTTGTCTTAATGTTTTGAATTTATACTGGCATTAAAATGTCTGTCGTGACGTTAATGCGTTGGCATGTGGAGCTTAAACGTGACATTACGGAATACGTCTTGACATTAAGACGTTTGTCTTGGAATTACGATGTTCGTCTTGACATTATGATGTTGATATGTATATTATATATGAACAAAACAATCGTCTTTTAAAAAAATTGAATGGTCGTCTTAACATTATGATGCTCGTCTTGACATTATGAGGTTCATATGTATAATATATATGAACAAAACAAACGCCTTTTAAAAAGATGGTCTTGACATTAAGAAAGCATCCACTGTGGACTTACTTCCCCCCAAAACGAATCACGTGATTTGTTCTTCGTAAACAAACATGGCGGACGCATGTGGTGAGCTTCGACAGACGTTGATAACAAGAATAGAAGGAATGATTCACGATGTGCAGCGGGAGCTTCATACGAACAACGTGGAACATGAAACATTAGATGGACTGTGTTTTCGTGGCGAACAGCTAGCACGACAGGTAGCCAGACTTGTAACCGCCAATGTTTTAGATTCGAGTGTTCTGAATTGCATCATGTTCGCCTACGAAAAATTAACTTTTTGTTCACAACGAGTGGAAAGTGAGGAAACGGGTTACAGAGCAGCTTTACTAAATTCTGGTGGCCGTGGAAGACCTTCTTACCAGATCAGTAGAGAACAACTGGTATATTTTCTTAGAGAACGATTTTCAAGAAGAGAGGTAGCAGACATGTTACGCGTTTCGCTAAGTACTGTGGCTCGTAGGATTCGTGAGCACGGTTTGGTAAACCTGTTACCGTATTCCACCATTTCCGACGAAGATTTAGACCGCGTTGTTAGAGATGTGCAGGCATTGTTTCCCAACATTGGATATCGTCGTATGTTGGGTGAGCTGACCCGTCGGGGCATAGTCATCCAGCACGCAAGAGTAAGAGCATCAATGATTCGAACCGATCCAGAAGGCGCCGTACTTAGATGGATGGATACTATACAAAGAAGATCCTACAGTGTTTATGGGCCAAATGCCTTGTGGCATATTGATGGGCACCACAAATTAATAAGGTAGCGATTAAAAAAAGGCACATTGATGTATATTTTTCACTTGTGGTCATGTTTAAATAATGTTCAGTGCCCGGGGGAGGGGGAGCTCCCATATAAAGGTGACGGGATGATCGTCGGAAATTTTAAACAGAATCAACTTTTACCCCTAAGAGGTACCAATTCTAAAAGTTAATTTGCTGATAAGTAGTTCATGACACATTTTTCCCTGCTAATACTCAAAAGGTACCCAGGCCATTTAAATGCTGGTAGATGCATTTTAGAATCAAAGACTCTTAAGAGGTTTGAACCCCTGAAACCCGTCACTTTTAGGTATATGGAACTCCTCCACCCAGGGGATGGGGGCTCGGTGGTTCTTGGCCTGTTTACATACACAGGTGATTTTTTAATGTACATGTACCTTTTGTTGCAAGTGTAAAGTAGCAGGGATTTCAGCGCCCACGTGTAAACTCACCTTGAGGAAGAAAAATTGCATCATATATGTATTTATGGCTCATGGTACAAAATTAATGCACAAAACAAATCCTCAACTACACCAACCCTACAAGAGAAAACTGAACTGCTTAACTTCATAGTGGACAGATAAAATCAGGAAACTTCGCTGCTAACAGTCAGAAAAAGTCACTGAGGAAAGAGCTACTGGTGGTTTCCACTGACGTCATATCAAAATTCAGAAGCATAAAATAACAGATTTTGATCACAAAATGTTTATGGAATTGTAGAGGGTTTAAACCTACACATCCTGGCCAAAAGCATTTCTTTTAAGAGTTACAGGCAAGTGAGTATTAGATACTTTTAGTAAGAAATGTATGGAGCAGCCATCTTGGTGTCCCACTTTGGGACACCAACATGGCGGCCAAAACTTTAAAGTCATAATTACGCAAAAAATCTCATCAGAAAAGATTGAATTCACTATAAATTAGATTAGATTGGCTTATAAGCATCTACAGTGCAAAAATAACTTTCAGCTGGTCAATTTTGTTTATTTTAATGGCTATTCTTAAATAACATGACGGATTCTGCAACACATTTGAAACCTTCATAAATCAATGTAAAACATCTTGAGAACCTGAAACTTTCTGTATATCCACATACCATGTTGGAAACGGCTTTGTGGGAGGTATACTTTAGTTTTTTTAATTTTATGACATCATGTGAAAACCAAGAATTCTGATTTGGGAGTGTTGTCTTTGAAACTACCATTATTTATTTATTACTAAAATATTAAAAATCAGCCATTGTAAAAAAAGAGCTTCCTTATATGCGGTTTTCCTTTACTTATTTTCTTTTATTGAAAAAGTGGCCCTACATGCTGGCATGTTACAGGCACAAAGCAGTCTCAGTTCTTGAATACATTGTATTCAGGGTTTGAGCCAGGCCGCGCCTTTGCGCCAATCCCGCACTGCAATTGGAATTGTCCCTTTAAAAAACGGCCAAGGGGACAATTTGTCCCCTTCAAAATTTAGGGAAAAAACTCGAAAGGAAGCACACACGAAGAGATTTATTTCGGTACAGAAGTTGCAAGCTGAAACAGAACGTGGAAAGTATATTTTATCGCACCTTTAAAGTTCATTCCAAAGTTACGTTTCAGTCACGCTCTACTGCTATTTTGGTCGGAAATCTAAGACAGGGCTTCTGATTTGAAATTCACAAAAACACGAAAAATACCGCGAAATTTGGTAGAAATCTTATCAAATATGTGTCTGTACAACATATTTGAAACTTATTTCAGCTATAGGGGATATTTACTTGCCGTAAACTTGCAAATTTATCTTGGAACTTCGTCACTGAAACGTGCGAACAGATTAGGTTGCGAAAAACTGGGCACTAGCCATCATGTTAAAGGCTTTGCCATTGGTTCATTTCTGGAGCGTATTGTTGTTGAAAGAGCAAATGATGACCTCTGTTAGAAAAACGTTAAAAAGGCTGGTCTGATCAGCGCAAAACCGATCGATTTCTAGCGAAATTTGCCTTGAAAATAACCACAAAATCGGCCGTTTTTTACCGATTGTTTTTCGATGAAGTTTGCCCCGAAAACTCCCGCGAAATCGGCCGATTTTTCCGCGAATTTGTCCCTAAAAATCCCGCGAAATTTGACTTTTTCGTCCGAGACCTATCAGAAGCCCTGCTAAGAAGGAAGGGTGTACAAATTTCTGTCCCCCTAAAAATGAAAATGTCCCCCAAAATTTTAGCCAAGGGGACAAATTGTCCCCCAGTGATCAAATCCTAGCTCAAACTCTGTGTATTATTTGTTAGGTGGCGCCTCGTCATACACGGAGGAGTGGATGGCTACTCAAGGATCCCTGTGTTTTTACAATGTTCTGACAACAATCGTACCTCAACAGTCCTGAATCTTTTTGAGAACGCTGTGGAAAGTTATGGCCTTCCTTCTCGGGTAAGAGCAGACAAAGGTGGGGAAAATGTGGAAGTGTCTTTATTCATGCTTTCACACCCTGCAAGAGGCCCTGGGCACGGGAGCATGATAACAGGATCATCAGTCCACAACCAAAGAATTGAAAGGCTTTGGCGGGATGTGTTCACTGGTGTAGTTGGCCTCTACTACAACCTTTTTAGTCATTTGGAGGGCACAGGGACTCTGGATATAAACAATGAAATCCACATATTTTGTTTGCATTACGTGTACCTTCCCCGGATCAACAATCATTTACATGTATGGAAAGAGGGTTGGATCAGAAAACCAATTTGTACAGAAAATAGCATGACACCAAGCCAACTTTTCATATCTGGTATGATGAGAATGGCTGGAAGCAGTCATACAATTGCTAAAGAAATGTTTGAAGATTTGAGAGAGGTAAGAAGCCAAAAATATCTACATCTCTTGAACAAACTTGGCAGTCAGTGGCAACAAAACTGTGGTACATCAAAGGAACCAAGAGAAGTTTGAAGTTGTCTTAGCATGCCAAAACTATGCTTCAAGTTTTCTTTAAGAAAAAAAAATTGAATCAAATAGTTGTGTTCTTTAATTGACATTGCCCTGTTGCACAAAGGAAAACCTAGAACATTTAGTCAATGTAAAAGCATGCAGATATTTGTAGTCTTAGTGTCCTGTTTTTTTTTGGGGGGGGGGGTAGTTACAATGGGAAGTAGTCGCCCTTACCCAAGTAATTAGCATTATATCAGTGCAAATAGAAGTCAACCAATCCTTGTATGCCAGTTTTACAAGGAATTATGTTGTTTTAATAGAGGAACATTTATCACCCCAGCCTCCCCCTGAAAAAAACAACAACAACAACAATAATAACAAAATAAAAAAATATATATAGTCACTGAATAAAATTGATTGTGTTGCATAATTTTCAGGATGAGGTTGAGCAATATGGTCTAGATTGGGATGGTCCATTACCAGAGTCAGATTCTGATGAAATGATTGAATTGCCCTTGACAGAGTGCCCACTGAATCTACAAGAAACACGAGAACTAAAACAAGCCATAGACCCACTGAGGAACAGTGACTGTTATGGAATTGATATTTTTATTCAAACTTCAATGTTTGTTACTTCACGTCTTGCAACATGATTGGCAAACTTCACTTTTTAACAGGCAAACAGTACAGGTTATTGAGTGTTACGGAAATATTGGTGCCAAGAAAACCTGAATAATAATTAATATGGTCACCACAGTAAGAAAAACATGTTTGCAGCAAAATCAACTAACCATAGGCACTAGTCAATGTAAGCACCTGGCTATCCTTAGTTAGCACACTTGGTATGTTTCAATTTCAAAAATTAATGTCAATATCACTATTGTAAAACTGTTTACGTCTAATGTCATCGGCGGATAATCATTATGTCAAATATGGCTTCAACAAGAAATGTAACAAAGTATGTGAAAATCAGCAAATGAACATGTAAACCGCCCTTTGACCCATGGTCTTATTTGAACTGTTTACATACAACCAAACCCAGCTACACTGTGCATGCAAGCTTCCAGGAAACTATTATAAAATTTGCTATATTGATCATGAACAGTAGGAACTTTTAGTTCCATTGTACGTGTTTCTGCAAAGAAATGAGGACAGGTATCTTCTCTGTAGTAAATAGTGATCTTCTCATCCAGCCCCAAAGGAGGTAGAGCGCCAAGTCCTGTTGCAAACATGAGAAATTCAACTAGTTTTGAAGACCCGAACTCTGGATTGGAAAAGAAAAACAGTCATTAGTATGTGTAGTAGGACTAAGTGCTCTCCAACTTGGAATTACCTGGATGAATAATATTCCCAGGAATGCCATAATTATTGTGCAAGGTCATAGTACTCATCGAACTTACAGTCAGAGGAATCTTATTTTAATTACCTTCAAATTGGACAACCACTTACGCATGAAGTGCTAATGTGTGTTAAATACATTGAAATCAACACTGAATGCTTGATGTGGGTTAAACATTGTACTTCACTATTAGTTTTCATGTTTTTTTCTGAAGGGCCTTGATAATATCTTTCAGGGATTCCAAAAGACTTAATACAATGTCTCACTCTCTCTCCCCACAAAAACTTTGGACTCTACCCAGGCTGGAAAATAGGGGATAGCAGACAGTCTATTTAAAACATAAAACTAACTACTGTAACAACTCTTACCATCAAAGCACTCAGATATGGACCTCTTCAAGTGTTGTCTCATTACTTCTCTTGTTCCATCCTCCACCTTGTCAATGTTGTGGAACTGGTTAAAGAGAAGTGCTGGCGTCAACAGGGTGTCTGTGTTGTGTACAAAATATGGCTGCATCGATTCAGGATGGCTTCTGATAAGATTTAACATGCCAAGAACATCCAACCCATTGCAGAACTGGTCAATGGAAAGCTTTCTTTTGTAGAAGGCTTCATGGGCAGCTACTAGCTGCATAGCAGCCACACGGTTCTCATAGGTAAGCACCTTATCCCACCCTGCAGCTTGCAATAGCTCGGACAAATCATCCTGAAGGTTTTCTAAGTCCTGTGGACATCCCGCATTTTCAACCTTTTAAGAAAAAAAAAAGTTGAAACATATATATCAGTTGATCATATAACTTGCAATATCATGTGATGTCCGTTCAAAAAACTTTACATATTAAAAGAACCAGCTGCACATGTATCAAGAGTTGGTGGTTTATAGAACAATTTAGGTGAATCAATCTTGTCTTGGATGTCTTAAAAACTTCTATCGTGCACAAAATCTACAAATATACCTACATCGTCATCAGGGTGGGTGGCCTTACCTTGCGTATCAGTTCCACAACAGAGCAATCTGGGATGTCCTCTGCACAGTGAGGCATTTCTGTCATGTCTACAGTTTCATGTGATATGAAGTAATACATACTCTTGGAGAAAACAGGCACACCTATGTCACAATGCATAATCGCACAACCAATCATGCGACCAGCAATGAAATAAAGATTGCTTTGAAGGGCGCTTGTGTTGTATGTAATGGCTCTCTTGTTTTCTTGGCCTTCTAGTAAAGCTGGATGATTGGTTACTGCCTTCATCAAAAGAGTAAAGTACTCCCTCCGTAGACCACCAGCATCAATTCCTTCTTCATCCTCAAACTTCACCCTAGGAGACTTAGTGGGATCAAACCTTGTGCTTTTAAACAGTGCAACAGTGTCCTCCCACAAAGTGTTTCTTGCAACAGTGATCCGCTGAATACCATCTTTAAGAACCTTCTCCTTAAGCTGCCTCAGCAAGTCGCATGCACTTACATTCTTCATCACCTTACTGTCATCAATTCTACCTCCTCCCTCAAAGTTATTAGTGGTGATGCTTTTTTCCTTTGCATCTGCAAGAGTGAAGTAAAAAAAAACTTTCACTATAATATTCAAACATATTTATAAATCCAGTAAAAAAAAAGCCAGCAGAGAAACTTTTATGTTTTAGTTTGTACATTTACATTCACATCCCAATATGTGTATGTGCTATTTTTCCTAATCTATTATAAAAATCATTGATATTAACATTTAAATGGCATTTTGGCAGACCAAATATTTCATAAGAACTTTCCTTGGTAAAGTTATATAACCGGGCGAAAATGTCCATCCATCTATTTGGAAAAGAATGTGAAAACTGAGAGAAAGGTGTGTGAGACACAACAACTATCAACAATAATTTATTTAACTCGAGGTTGTAATTCCCCTTTTCAAATCTTGTTCACCTTTTTGAGTTGTAAAGCCTTGGAATGAAACAGAAAAATACATTTCATTTAACTGACAAGGATTTCATAAAGAAACTGCAAACCATCAGTTACACTTGAAGGAAACCAATTTTTTGCCATTCAATTCTAAGAAAAACCACAGCCAATTGTTGCAAGTTCTTGTAAAACAAGGGTCACACTGGATAACAAAACCGTTCACCGCTATTTAAAAGGTAACTTCTTATTCCCAAGAATAGTATGGTATCTAAATTGATTTTTACAGGTTATTACAGTACCACAAGTTATAGTTAACTGGCTCACATGTAGCTGTTGAAGAAACATTACTGCATACATTCATGGGCGGGAACTCAGCAAATACCATGTCAACTGCATCAGATACAACCCCACCACACCTCCGCAAAATGCCCTCAAGTGTAGTCATATCCCATTCAGGAAAAATATCTTGCAGAGCAGCCAAGGCTGGAATAATTAAAACACAAAAGTAACAAAAATAACCAACTAAATGCAACTTGTAAGAATCATAATAAATACTAGTAGTACAAGAATAGGTGATGCTTGTTTCCACAGCAAATTAAAGGACTGAACATGAAAAGTGTACTTACAGTTTGCTGCAGTGTTAGTAGAGGATGAAGTAGATAATTCATGGTTGCGTTTGCTAGGTCCACCAACATCCTTTCCAATCTCCTGCCTTTTGTTGTAACTAGGATGGTGAAACATTTTCAGACAAAAATAAAGTAATCAGAACTGTTTTTTTTAACCTTTGGTTATACATGTAGCTGCTGTATGCTATTAAATCCTGACCTTATTTTTTGTGAATTGAAGGTGGCTTATCTACATATGATTTGTCATACAGTGTATTTATCACACAGTAAAGGCATTTGATCATGAGTTAACATATCATTGTGCTAGGTTGGAATGGCAAATAAGATCAAATTTGCAACTTCTGGAATTTTTAAGATTCAGCAAATAAACCAGACAGTACACAATATGTCATTAAGAATCAGATATTTCTTACCAAGAAAGTAAAAGCTTTTCAGATGATTAGTTATAAATTCCACATTGTTTTTGTAAATGGGATCAAACTGTGCACATATATCCCATGTGGGAGGTTTTGCACTGTATTCGATTTAGATTTAGATTTAGATTTAGATTTAAACAAACATCACCAGAGAAATCACTTACCCTTGATTGCAGCTGAAAATATGTTCCTTTAAGTCATTCATTGAAAAGTAGAAACCACATCTTTTGCATTCCTCCATCGGAATATCACCCTGAAAGATTTGGGACAAAATGAAATAGAGCATCATTTCCTTACATCTAAGTTGGGACTTGGCCTGGGAAAGAAGCCTGTTCTTAAGGAAATGTTGATCATAGGTGATTGTAATTGTTTTTGTAATTCAAAAATAACGCGCGAAATTCTTACCCGCGTTGTGCACACTACGCGGGGGAAAACTAGATGCGGAGCGCGACATCGGTCAATAAAGGCGGGAAAATTATGTAAAAATAAAAACAAACAAACATCCGACTAAGAGCAAGAAAAAAATTTCAAACTTCCCAAAAGGAAACGAACAAAAGCTGTTTGTGTTTTGACACATCGTTCAGTCAGTTATTTAACAGTAACTGCAACGGGTGGTCGCAAAAAAAGATCACAGTTATTTTGTTTTGCTTTTGATAAACAATATTCAGCACTCGTGAGTCGACAAAGTGCTTAACTGTCTGCAGAGACAAAAGAATTAATTGTTACTTTGTCAGAATCCGTGAAAAACAAAGCTGAACTGTCAAGACTGTTGAGCATTCTAAGAACGACTATCACAGGTGGAACAAAAGATAAATTTGATGATCTGGGGATGTTTTTGATATGATGGTGTTGGAAGTGTGACTTCAGTTGAAGGCAACAGCAACTCTGCCAAGTACATTGACATCCTAGAAAATAATGTATGGCCAGTAGTTGTTTAGTACTTAGAAGACAAAGACTACATGTTCATGGATGGCAATACGCCAGTCCACAGCGGAGCACACAATGTAAATAATTATAAAGATAAAGCAAAGTACCCTTAATGGAATGGCCAGCACAGTCTCCAGATTTAAATATAATAGAAAACATTTGGCTTTACATCAAGAGAGAGTTACAAAAGTCCACTGAAAATATCGCTACCAAGAATGACCTTCTTCGTGAAACTGAGAGTGTGTAGCGGAAGATCCAATTAGATTGAATATGAAAGCTTTACCAGCCCATTCCTGATCGCCTAGACAATGTTATCAAAATGACGGGTCATCTTACCAAATACTAAGGTGATTTTAAACTTAAATTTACCGTAAACGAAGTTAAAACAGCGCGCGTAAACGCCGCCATATTGAAAGTGACGAATATATATGTCCCTTGACTGTATATTGATGATGGGTATGATAACGATAACCATAAAGACGATGGTGACGGTATAAAGGGTCAATCACGTTGATGGTGATCGTGTTGGTTATTGTTGTCAGTATTGTTAATCTATTTATCATTATCATTTTTTATGACAGCTGTGTGTTCCAGCTGCCGTGGAGCACACTACAAATCCCGTAAGGCTCACGGTTTCATGTCTGGAGAGCAGGTAAGCTAGTACACATTGGCCATTCACAGCTTAGTGTAACTAAGCATAGTGTAACTGACCATATAATCAGAGGATGTTTTGATACCGCCAACAGGTGCACTGATATCTATAACAACTGACAACATGAATAACACGTACCTTTGTTGGTTTTCCTGTCTTTTCTTCAATGGGTAGCCATTTGGAATCGTTAAGGTGTGGTCGATTTCCAAGAGGCTTGGGACCTAGTTATAATGATAGCCATGTCTAGAGTTTTCAGATCGCGCGTCGAGAACAATTACTCGACTACATCTGAATGTTTTCTGAATGACAAATTGGTCTTGACCAGTGCTTGAAGAGACCAGCAACAACAAAGATGCGAGGGCACCCTTTGGCAGCGGCTAGGAAACACATATAGAGTTTCCACAGTTACATGTATTGGAGATCTTTGTGGAATTGTTGACGATCTTGTCCATAATTTGCTAATCTATTTTATTACGCTTCAGGATCCTTACTCAGACACCTTGGTGATTGGAGACGAGATCGAGGAGTCTGATTCTGCCACTGTCTCTGTCATTACTGTTTGTGAGGAGAGCACATTGCCAGCCACGGTGTGTGCAGCGGTCTCAAGCACTGGTGAGGGGTTAGAAACAGTCTCTTTGCAGTCCCATTCGTCCCAAGCCTCGATACCAGACGAAGAGATTAGTTTATGGGTTGACGAGATGGAGGAACAAAACAGCAAACGGCAGAAATTAAACGAAGCTGTCCACAGCATCTCAGGTGGCCGCTACAGCCCCGTAATGTCCAGCCTGAACACGACCTGGGACGACGTCTCCGACACCCAGCAGCGATATTACATCCGCAAAGCTAAGGAGACTATAGTGACTTCATTGTCTGTCATCACTCCCGGTCAAGAGGAACTGGTTTTGAAGGCGTTACAAACGGAGGTACTTTTGGATCCAAACAGAGACAACCAAGGAAAGCGCAAGCGTTTTGATCCCAACTCTGGTCTTGTCGACATTTTAGTCAATGCCTATGAGCAAGCAGGTCATTGGCAAACAAAGCGACAGATCCTTTCCCTCTTTGCAGACGACTTTTCAAGAGCTGAGCTTCAAGAGATGATCCCTGGGCTTTCCAAATGGCGCATCGACCAAGCTCGCCAACATGCAACAGAAGCAGGGAAAGGCCAGCCTCTCCCTGAAATTCCTAGTTTCCGTACAAGAATTGAGCATGAAAAGGTGGATCATTTCATTGAATATATCTCCAGACCAGAATTTGTCCAAGACGTGGCGTTCGGGACAAAGACTCTCAAGCTTGACTCGGGGGAGAAAATTGTCATACCAGCAGTCATTAGGACCGTCATTCCTTCACGCATCATCAGACAATATTTAGACTATTGTAAAGAACAAGAGTTCGAGCCGGCGAGCCAGCGTTCTCTCTACCGAATGATTGAAGTGTGTTCGGCCTCTATGCAGAAATCCCTTCAGGGACTTGACAACACCACTGCAGAGGGTACAGAGGCTTTTGATCAACTCTTTTCTATGTTGGAGGCCTTAGCAGATCAGGGCATCAACGTTACTGCCACTCAGAAATTTCTAAAGGATGCAAAAAGGTACTTAAAGAATGATTTCAAGACACACATCGGACGAGGAGAACATTGCAGTGATCACTGCACGGTCCACGCACTAAGTGACAGTAGTGCATGGGAGTTCAGGGGCGAATGTGATCATGAACATTGCTACGAATGTGAGCGCTGTGAGAGTCTAGAAGGAGTACTGAAACAGGTGGCAGAGATGCAAGACAAAGCGGACATGACGGAAGAGGAGAGGGTTAGGTGGAGGTTTGAGTACACTGAGAGTGTGCGCAACATACAAGCGTGGAAGAATCACTTGCTACGGTCAAGTAACCAGGACGAAGCCAAGCAGGATATTCTCGAGAAGCTAGACGACAACTCGTGTCTTGTCGTAATGGACTGGGCAATGAAGTTTCTGCCTGTGCAATACAGAGAACACATGAGTGATTTTTTTGGCAAGAGAGGAAGAAGCTGGCATATCAGTGCAGTAATCACTAGAGCAACAGTGGAGAGCAAGCATGAAGTCGAGTGTTTTGTACACATTTTCAACAACTGCACCCAAAATAGCTTTGCAGTTCTTTCAATAATAGAGGACTTGCTGCAAAAAGTCAAACTGGAGTATCCAGGGGTGACAACAGCCTACCTCCGATCGGATAACGCTGGATGTTACCACAATGGGCCTCTCTTGTTAAGTCTTAGAGAAGTAGGGGTGAGAACCGGTGTCAGGCCAGTACGATATGATTTCTTCTTGATGAAGAAATTCGAAGAGGGTACAAGAACTGGAAACAAGGCCGATCCTGTACGGGTAGCGAGGGAGATGAAGACCCTCAGAAATGAGGACGGAGAGCCCACGTTTAAGCCTGAAGAGTGGAGGACTGCGCAGCAGATCAGTAGCCTGTTTTCACGTCAGACAGCGGCGCTGCGTCATAGGGGTATTGATGCGGAGGAAATCTCGGAGGAAGACATCGAGGCTGCCGAGTCGGAAATAGCGTTTGACACCCTTAGAAGTTTGGTGATGGATGATATGGGCAAACCAAGCCATCCAATCATCGTGGGCATTAGCAATATCTGCGAACTTGTAAAAAACAAGAAGCTTGACTCACTCAAACTGGCAGCTCTGAAAGAAATCTGCAATCAGCTACACCTGACGACAAGCGGACCACTGTCAAGAAAAAAAACTTTCTTTGAGGCCATTCAAAAATTCTCTGAGAGTTGCACGTGTTTTCAAAAATAACGTTACATGGTTTTAGTAGGGAGGATCTCTATGCTTCTACCCCAATCTTCTCCATTGGGGCCTTTTAGATAGGTACAGGGAGACCCTTCGATAACAGGGTTTATAAATACTTGTAAATTAAAAAATCGTGAGCAATATAAGACTGCAAACTGAATGAATGCTATGGTAAACACAGTAAAACAAAAAACTGCAAGGATTTTTACATACTGCTAAACACCAGCTGTCCGTCGCTATGCTTGAATGCTATCATGGATGAAACCAATTCGGTTTTCTTCCTAGACAAAAGAGCAGTGCCGGAAGATTTCAGCAGCAATGCACACGGATTGATCAACTTTAGTAACGTTGTGTCAAATCTGTTACGTTATAATGCATTAAGTTTCGACTCACTAATTTGCGCATCTGTTCGAATTGCATTTCCTCTGCCACGAATTGACTGTCATTTCGGCAGCCTGTTTGCCTTCCATCACACGTGGAGAAAACATTAACTCTGTTAGTCTCCAAAACTATTCACTACTTTACAAAACACAATCTTGAGCCTGTCTGGCATATTAATTTGCATGTCCATGTTTAGTGAAATGACAGAATTGTTATGTTCGCCCCAAATTTGTGGACTGTCAACGTCTGCAAGATCGAAACAACAATTAGTTTCAAAAACAAGAACCTCATAAAAATTAATAATTAATTACGTGCAGGGTTATCATCGCTTGTATATAATATCAACAGACAGGTGAAGTTTTCCCGGGGAAATTCGACAACATGCAAATTAGTTAAATTTGAAGAAAGCTTACGGGAGGGGATTTTGACCTACCAAATGACAAAATAGGCCGATGAACTATGGCCACTTACCTGAAAAAGTAATGTTTTTCTCTTAGTGATAGTAAAGAAGCCAATAAACGCCTGCAACAAGTCGCAAATCAAGCGTGAAATTTTTCCCGGAAAAACTACAACTATGCAAAGTAGGAAATTAGGTTAAAGTTGTGAGAAAGCTCACGCGACGAGATTTTAACTTGCCAAATAAGAGTTTGCGTATTTGTAAAGACTTTATGACAGACTAATAAAAAATAGTTTTGATCTGGATATAAACTGCCGCACTTTAGAGAAAACCAGATTGGAAAATTGCCAAAATTCTTCTTACTTGCGATAGCCACGAAGTGATGATATTTGGAACCGCTCCAAAGTAAGTTATTTTTAACAAAATTCGTTTATATTGGAGACATGAGCTGGTTATAGGCTGGAAAGTATGTACAGTTCGTATAAATGAATAAGGCTAATGCCAAGTAAGTAAAATGCGTCGTGGAAGTTTACCCAAATTTTCCGTCTCACGTGGGCAAAATAGCACCAAAAACTAGGGGGGTGGTCAAAATTCTAAGAAATTAATTTTATTTTACTAAAAATACCACCGATCGTAATCTTATCTGATAGAGAAAAAATGCTGAAAATTTGGAAGTAATCGGCCGACCTCGATCCGCGGACCCTGCCTGGTCCTTAGTGACAGTGACACTTAAGGTCCCTAATGACAGGTCGTTCTGCAGTGGACGGATATACGCTGTTGCTTGATTCAAATTGTCCTTCAAGTACTGAACACTATAACCCTCTGTCTTTGAACCGGGTATTAGTACCAGCCTTGTGGTTGACCTTCCATCAGTTCTCAAAAATTCATATCCTCCTCCATCACGAAGCTTAGGATATGTTTCTGATAACTTCTCATGCAAGAGACTCGCAGACCAGCCTCTGTCCAACGTGATTTCCCTCTCTCCCAGTCCTGCAGCTCTTAGCTTAAGCTTATCTTCCACAGATGGTATCCTGCAAGCATCTTTTTCAGCCAAACAACAAAACTTGTGAGTCCATTGGTTTCGCTTTGTTCGGAAACCAAATCCACCCGCGGTTTTCTTCGCTCGTTTCTTTCCTGTAGTTGCTGTCGAGAGTGCTGTTCCTGACGACAGTGGCCTGAACCGCAGTGCTGCAGCGATCTGATTTACTCTGGGGTTTGTGCGTACAGCCGCGTTGCCAAACAATCTTTGGTGCTCTGCAAAGATGCTACTTGTGTTTGAACCAGACGAGCGAGGCAACGATGTTGATGGAATTGATTTGGTAGCATCAGAAGTTTCTCCGCTATAAGGACCCTGCAGCATGTGTACTACTCTACACAAACTTTCGTTGACCTTCTTCAAATTCTCAAGAACTTCTCCCTCAGTGTTGTCCACCATGCCCTTCTTCAAATTCTCAAGAATTTCTCCCTCAGTGTTTTCCGCCATGTTTTTGTTTTTGACGAAGAACAAATCACGTGATTCGTTTTGGCGGGAAGTAAGTCCGCAGTGCATGCTTTCTTAATGTCAAGACGAACATCATAATGTCAAGACCACCATCTTTTTAAAAGGCGTTTGTTTTGTTCATATATATTATACATATGAACCTCATAATGTCAAGACGAGCATCATAATGTTAAGACGACCATTCAATTTTTTTAAAAGACGATTGTTTTGTTCATATATAATATACATATCAACATCATTATGTCAAGACGAACATCGTAATTCCAAGACAAACGTCTTAATGTCAAGACGTATTCCGTAATGTCACGTTTAAGCTCCACATGCCAACGCATTAATGTCACGACAGACATTTTAATGCCAGTATAAATTCAAAACATTAAGACAAACATAATTTTGACACTGATAACGCGCCATACGACAAGGTCTAAAATAGCATTTTGATCCGGCTCATGATTCAGAGAACCGGGCGGGACACCTCCACCAAGAATTTATAGGAGTATTTACAACTTTAACTTATGTGTCTTGCTATTTAGCGATCTTTTGATCTTATTTTTCCTTACCTAGAACCATTTTGCAGGGTTTTTACCAAAATAGTCCGTAGTCCGTATTTTATACCCAGTCCGTAGTCCGCAGTCCGCGTTTTATACCTTGTCCGTGTTTTATACCCAGTCCGCAGTCCGTGGTCCGCAGTCCGCAGTCCGCAGCCCGTATTTTATACTGCTCACTTATAGTTTGTTGTCTTTATTTAGATATCACAGGCAACAATTCCATCTGATTTCTGTCTTTTTTTTCGATTATAGTTTGAACTCGTCTTTATTTTCTGACGATGAGAATATGTGTTCTGATTAAGAAGAGTCTACCTCTGAATACTTGACAGTATATATGTGGTAGTTATATTTTTATCACAGATAATTTTTGTTTTTCTTTTGTTTTTGAGTATGGTAATGATGCTAACGAAGTTTAAACAAAAAGAAAAATAAAAATTACCTGAGATAACAAATTAACCACACATATATATATATTCCAGATATTGGATAAACATAACAGTCTACCTATTATTGCACTGCACTTGAAAGGCATTACTGCATGTCAGGTTTTTACAAGTAATCTCTTCCTTCTAACAAACACTTTGTTCCCAGGGTGATCTCTAATGTATCAGTCAAATCGAAGCTTCAACATGCCCCCCCGGGCAACCCCCCGGGCATTTGACTTTTTTAAAAATTATTGATCAAATCCCCCCTACCCGGGCCAAAATGCCGTTCAAATGCCCCACACAAGGGTCCATTCAGGTGATCAAAATAATGCCCCCACCCCGGGGACATTTCACAGGCACATAATGACGGAAGGACGGCAGAAACACCTTCAGTTGTCGAACAAAATCTTTATAAATACAGAAAATAATTCGCATTTAATATAACAAAAACTGTGAAACACTGTTAGCGTATTTACTACAAACAAACTTCTCGTGCAAAGCGGCGAAAATAGCTGCTACAAGGTCACTAAATGCTCAGCTTTTCTTCGTGTGTCATGCAACATAGAAAACGTTCTAAAAAAAATCCCACCTACTACATCATGACCATTTCACTGACATGAATCATCGCTCACCTTATACATGCGGCAGGTCAAAGTAATATTGACCTCTGTTGAGCTTTTTATTGTTGCATTGAATCCCTGGTAATAGGTCATTGTAAACACAACTTTTATATATTCATATATTCAAAACCAAGCTTGTTTAAGCCCTTTCCTCGTAACCAATTGGCCACAAAGGCACAATCTTTTCCACGAAAATCCTCCAACACCGCGTCCCCTATGATAGCTCGCCACGCCAGAGATTTCACATGAAATTGTGGGTGCACTAATTCCCCACCCCTAACGCATGGAGATCAAATTCCCCATCCCCTGGAAGACTCTTATAATCAAATTCCCTCCTGTGAAATTATTTCAGGTGTCAAATGTATGGGGTTTGCCCGGGGAGGGGGGCATGTTGAAGCTTCGATTTGACCGATACATAAACCGGGCATGAAAGGTCCATTCGTGGAGTACATTGTCTATGAATAGCATTATGTGACACTACAGTTGGTCGTGATGTTTTGGTGCCTTTTTTTGGTAATCAAGCACTTTATAATTCTGCCATCCTTGGATAAACACAGATGTATTGACACTGACAGTGACACTGATTTTCATGTACAAAATTTCAGTTGCCCCACAGTCTGGGTAAGAAAAATTAGCTTCTGCCACCGCAGGGTGGTTCCTAAAGTGTTGCACGATAATATTAGGCGCATACATGCACTGGTGAAACGCCAATGCATAAAAGTGTTAATCCCCCCTTCCCCAGACCCTGCCTTTCTTCATATGCCTGGGTCAAGAGATCCACTTCTTATGACCAAAACTAGGTTCTGCTAACAAAATACGAAGTAGTGAGCTTACATGTGATTTGCTGGGAAAAATGAACAATTTTATTTTTCCCTCTATTTTTTTATACTTTCTAACTGCTGTTTATCTCAACAGACACACAGGAAGTATTGAATGTGTTAATAACCTATCCTTACTGTAGGCATCAAAGAGGATATCTTTCAGGTAATTACTTGTTGACTGTACTGGTGATGAGGATGTTAATGATCATCATTATCATTGGCTGATTCTCTATTGAACTGCAGTGTTCTATTGTGGCCTTGATTTTCTGTTTAGTAGCATTTTCTCAAGTGGTGAAAATATTTTCTTACTCTCAAACTTGAATATTTTACAGTTACAGGGCCTACAGAGTAAGAAAATGCCACAAAGTCATTGACTGGAACTACCACCTTCACCTCCCCCCTGCCACAAACCAAAAAAACAGGAGAACAGATGTTCAGCTGAAAGTACTATCAGCAGACAAAGTAGAGACACGTGAAGATCATAAAAGAGGACAAGGGATATGGATATATTCCCCTCCTCATTGCTAACATATTACATGGCAGATTACATGATGTGGATATCGTGACAAGGAATATCTCTCTACATGCAAGTGATCCCTGACTGTTGATCCCAATGCATTGCAGCCATAGTGGCAGAGTGCGTTCAGTTTACCTGCATCGTCAAAAAGCTGTGAACCAGAAAAAGGTGATCTTTGGAAAAATCCATCACCCATGGAAGACTGAGTTGACATATTTTGAGATGCATAGAACAGAGTCCAGTCAGAGTGTTATCAGACTAAGATTTATCACTTCCTTTAATTTCGATACATTTGCATTAATTGATAATTTACCGTAAAATCTTATGAGAATCAAGACATCAAGTAGAAAGAAATACTGATATTATTCAAAGTGAAATTTTTGTACAGTACAAGGAATTGTAAACAATGAAAGACATGTCTTGTACTGATATATTAATATTAATATTATAGTAAGATGTCAGTTTCAACCCCAAGACATTAGCAACTTTTAGAAAAATAGTAAGTCTTCTGCTTTTGGGAAAATATGCTATGACCTACAGTGTGAACTGGAATGCATGTGTATTAAATAGCAAATAAATTATTGTTTTTCCATGAATTAATTAACTGATCAGTCCACCCCCAACCTCCCCAATATTTTGCAATGTCAGTATCATTGAGGAATAAACAATATATAGGGACCTCAAACATTACTATTTACACTTTTATTGAGGAAACCACTAGTTCTTTTGGAAGATATGGATTATTGATTCACACCATGTCAAATATCTGGGAAAATGTACCATATTCAGGAGTGATGTAAAACAAAACAAAGGAAATAACCTGACTTTTGGAGTTATACTTTTAGCCCTGGAAGTGATGAGCATCAAATTTCCCCTCTCACATATGTGCTTTTTAAAGCAAATACTGGCAGCCCCTTTTACAGTTGCATCTGGAAATGAGGCTAGAGTTGACGCTGTTTTAATACAACCCTTCCTGCTTTATTATGTAAATCATGTTATTTTTGTGCTAACAATTATTATTATGCGTAATTTCCATGAGAAAAGAAGGGAGATTTGTATCAACACAAGCTCACCTCCATCACTGCATTCAATAGAAAGCTACGGTACTAAATCCACTACTTAATACAATATTACAGTAGGGAATACAATTCAGGAGAACAGCAATACTTAAGTCTAGAATCTGTTAGCATTGCCACTGGTCAGGATGGTAAAAAAAAAAACCGAAACAGTTCTCAATAAGTTGAATGGTAAAACACTGTTGTGCCCCTAACTGTGGTGAGAAATCTGGGTGCATGATTTCACGGGTAGCCCAAGCTCGAAATATGAGCATCGGCGAGCATCGGCATTGTTGCGTAAAATTCAAAATATAAGGATTTGTATGGGAAAAAAAACCTATCGTTTCTGTAACCTACAAAATGAAAGGATTTCAATAAAAAACAGCTTACCTTACTTAAAATGTGTGTTACGTCTCTCCTGTGTGGTCCACGGGCTGATTTATGGCCCTTTTATGGGTTCTTATGTAAACGGTTTTCTCTCTACATAAATGTTTAGAGAGAAAACCGTTTACATAAAAACCCATAAAAGGGCCATAAATCGGCCCGTGGACTACACAGGTGAGACGTAACACACATTTTAAGTAAGGTAAGCTGTTTTTTATTGAAATCCTTTCATTTCGTCGGTTACAGAAACGATAGGTTTTTTTCCCATACAAATCCTTATATTTCGAATGTTACGCAACAATGCCGATGCTCGCCGATGCTCATATTTTGAGCTTGGGTTACCTGTGATGATGATTTCATTTCATGATCCAAGGTTCCAATAAATTCCTAAAAAACACAAGAGGAAAAAATCTCCAAAATGCCAAAGAAGTCTTTTCTAGTTGAATGCTACTAGAAGGCAGTATTAAAGTCTTCATGAAAAACAATATTTATAACCTTGCAACATACTTCCAAGATAGAGCAAAAGAAAGTGACTCTAGAGAAGTGAAAAAAAATAAGAGGCTAAAGAAAAATAGCCTGCTACGTTAGCCAGCTAAGATAACCAGGCTAAGC